CAGAACAGTCCCACCACCTCTCCTCTCCAACAGAACAGTCCTCACCTCTTCGACAAAACAGAATGATCATGCTCCTCTTCCCAGATGGGCTCTACCATAAGCTCTGGTCTCCTACAAAGCAGAACGCTATCTTCCCAAACAGTTCTATTAGCTCTCTTCCTCCGCAGTACCACCAACTCTCCACTCCAACAGAGCATTGCCAACACCCAACGTGGTCCTTGGAGAAATCTAAATCTACAACTAGAGTAGTGAGGGGTAAGAACCTCTGTCATGTTGTTCTTGCGGCCTGTGTTTCCACTGGAGAGATTCACCCTCTGTGTTTGTCCTGTGACCATTGTCTCTGGTGCAGAAACGAATTACAAATTTACATTTTTGAGTTGTCACCCAAACAGGAATAGAGGGGAAATCTTTCAATAGGGACATTTGTTCCAGTGACTGCTGTCAAGAAGTGATTTCCTCTCATTTTGGGAAGATTCCTTCTTACTTCCTGTTGTGTCTCCGGGATAGGAAGTAATGGTAATTCTTCCCGATGTGACACAGACAGCAAAAGAAAAAAACAATGGCTTTAGATATACTTTAAAGCTGGTCATACAAGCAGTGATTTAGATATGAGAGATCACAAACATGCAAATCATCATTAAAGTATTGAACGATGCAATGCACATGGGATGATTGTTCCGCATTCTGTGATCGTCTGACAACGTCGATGGAAAATATGACCAATCAGTTATAAATATAAACGGCCTGCTGTAATTGATCATTTAATGTACGTGGATTGTGATCAGTACTGTGACACACACTCCAATATTGGTTCAATCAATTAGAAGGGATCAAAGAAATCATGCAACAGTAGAAATCAATTGACAGCTCTCTAAATCGTCTTTCGTCCTGAAACTGTAGGATTTGTATTCGATTCGCTCAGTTTGGTCACATTGAATGATCATATTGATACGTGTGTGGCTGCTGTGGCACCCTTTACTCCGAAAGTTGTCATTTCGAATAGGGAAGGGTTAAAGCCTAGTCTCTTGTATGGGGTCACAGGGGCAGGAAATGAGGGGACTCTCCCCAATGGGGGCACAGACAGTTCTAAACATCTAACTCAAATTATAACTTTAATTTGCCATTCAAAACTAAAAATAATGGGAATTTACTAAGACTGGAGCAGACAGAATCTGCTGCAGCTGTGCATGGTATCCAATCAGTTTCTCTCTTCAGCTTGCTCAGTTACTCTTTGAAAATGAAAGCTAGAAGCTGATTGGTTGCCATGCACAGCTGATCCAGATTCTGTTTGCTCCAGTCTTAGTATATTCCCCCAGTGTGTCTGGAGTCTGACTTTAGTGAGTGAAGTATGGTGTACGATATGAAAAGCTTTATGTACAACACATGTACAATTTCCTAGGTGCTGGGACATTGCTGTGCTCAGTTACCACCCTGAGGTCCACTAGGTGCCGGTAATTGGAACTTTCGATAGAACACCGAGACTGCCCACTTGTTTACGTTAGTGAACGGCCCGGCCACAGCACGGCATTGGTCGGCTCTGTACCCGGAAAAGGCGTACACACTCCATTCCCAATTGACACCAGCTCCGGCCAATCCTCACACCGAGTGTCACAAGCGAACCCCGCCCACTGACTGTACTGTCCAGCCGGTGCTCGGATGAGGGCGGGACTTCCGTTGTCAAGGTGCAGGCGACTTGGTTGCTGCAGTGTGTCGGGGAGAGGCCCGGCATGCCCGGACGGTGTTGGTGCTGAAGGAGAGGCGGGGATGAACGGCTTCAGTACGGAGGAGGATAGCAGGGATGGGCCGCCGGCCCCGGCCGCTCCTTTCTTCGGACAGACGTGTTGTCTGATAGACGGGGGAGAGCGCTGCGCCCGGCCGGCTGGGAACGCCTCATTTAGCAAGAGGGTGCAGAAGAGCATCAGCCAGAAGAGACTCAAACTGGACATCGACAAGAGCGTGAGTGACGTGTGTGTGGATTGTACAATGTGCATGTAATGTACGCTGTTTGTGTATTGTACACTGTGTGTGTGTGTACACAATACATACACATGGTACAATAAACACACACACACAATACAATGTGCGTGTTGTACAATGTGTGTATTGTACAACTTGGAATCCGGGAGTCGGCAGGATTTGTTAGGTGTTGGCTCCATTGACAACAAGTGGAGAAACCTCAAAAGTTGGGTACCAGATGTCATATTTTAAGGAGCATTTGCAACCTGACTCCCGGGATTTGTCCAGTCCTGCTGTACATTGTGTCTGTGTATATCATACATGAAGTGTGTGCAGTGTGTCTGTGTATATTATACATGAAGTGTGTACAGTGTGTGTGTATATTATACATGAAGTGTATACAGTGTGTATATTATACATGAAGTGTGTACAGTGTGTGTGTATATTATACATGAAGTGTATACAGTGTGTATATTATACATGAAGTGTGTACAGTGTGTGTGTATATTATACATGAAGTGTATACAGTGTGTATATTATACATGAAGTGTGTACAGTGTGTGTGTATATTATACATGAAGTGTATACAGTGTGTATATTATACATGAAGTGTGTACAGTGTGTGTGTATATTATACATGAAGTGTATACAGTGTGTATATTATACATGAAGTGTGTACAGTGTGTGTGTATATTATACATGAAGTGTATACAGTGTGTATATTATACATGAAGTGTGTACAGTGTGTGTGTATATTATACATGAAGTGTATACAGTGTGTATATTATACATGAAGTGTGTACAGTGTGTGTGTATATTATACATGAAGTGTATACAGTGTGTATATTATACATGAAGTGTGTACAGTGTGTGTGTATATTATACATGAAGTGTATACAGTGTGTATATTATACATGAAGTGTGTACAGTGTGTGTGTATATTATACATGAAGTGTATACAGTGTGTATATTATACATGAAGTGTGTACAGTGTGTGTGTATATTATACATGAAGTGTATACAGTGTGTATATTATACATGAAGTGTGTACAGTGTGTGTGTATATTATACATGAAGTGTATACAGTGTGTATATTATACATGAAGTGTGTACAGTGTGTGTGTATATTATACATGAAGTGTATACAGTGTGTATATTATACATGAAGTGTGTACAGTGTGTGTGTATATTATACATGAAGTGTATACAGTGTGTATATTATACATGAAGTGTGTACAGTGTGTGTGTATATTATACATGAAGTGTATACAGTGTGTATATTATACATGAAGTGTGTACAGTGTGTGTGTATATTATACATGAAGTGTATACAGTGTGTATATTATACATGAAGTGTGTACAGTGTGTGTGTATATTATACATGAAGTGTATACAGTGTGTATATTATACATGAAGTGTGTACAGTGTGTGTGTATATTATACATGAAGTGTATACAGTGTGTATATTATACATGAAGTGTGTACAGTGTGTGTGTATATTATACATGAAGTGTATACAGTGTGTATATTATACATGAAGTGTGTACAGTGTGTGTGTATATTATACATGAAGTGTATACAGTGTGTATATTATACATGAAGTGTGTACAGTGTGTGTGTATATTATACATGAAGTGTATACAGTGTGTATATTATACATGAAGTGTGTACAGTGTGTGTGTATATTATACATGAAGTGTATACAGTGTGTATATTATACATGAAGTGTGTACAGTGTGTGTGTATATTATACATGAAGTGTATACAGTGTGTATATTATACATGAAGTGTGTACAGTGTGTGTGTATATTATACATGAAGTGTATACAGTGTGTATATTATACATGAAGTGTGTACAGTGTGTGTGTATATTATACATGAAGTGTATACAGTGTGTATATTATACATGAAGTGTGTACAGTGTGTGTGTATATTATACATGAAGTGTATACAGTGTGTATATTATACATGAAGTGTGTACAGTGTGTGTGTATATTATACATGAAGTGTATACAGTGTGTATATTATACATGAAGTGTGTACAGTGTGTGTGTATATTATACATGAAGTGTATACAGTGTGTATATTATACATGAAGTGTGTACAGTGTGTGTGTATATTATACATGAAGTGTATACAGTGTGTATATTATACATGAAGTGTGTACAGTGTGTGTGTATATTATACATGAAGTGTATACAGTGTGTATATTATACATGAAGTGTGTACAGTGTGTGTGTATATTATACATGAAGTGTATACAGTGTGTATATTATACATGAAGTGTGTACAGTGTGTGTGTATATTATACATGAAGTGTATACAGTGTGTATATTATACATGAAGTGTGTACAGTGTGTGTGTATATTATACATGAAGTGTATACAGTGTGTATATTATACATGAAGTGTGTACAGTGTGTGTGTATATTATACATGAAGTGTATACAGTGTGTATATTATACATGAAGTGTGTACAGTGTGTGTGTATATTATACATGAAGTGTATACAGTGTGTATATTATACATGAAGTGTGTACAGTGTGTGTGTATATTATACATGAAGTGTATACAGTGTGTATATTATACATGAAGTGTGTACAGTGTGTGTGTATATTATACATGAAGTGTATACAGTGTGTATATTATACATGAAGTGTGTACAGTGTGTGTGTATATTATACATGAAGTGTATACAGTGTGTATATTATACATGAAGTGTGTACAGTGTGTGTGTATATTATACATGAAGTGTATACAGTGTGTATATTATACATGAAGTGTGTACAGTGTGTGTGTATATTATACATGAAGTGTATACAGTGTGTATATTATACATGAAGTGTGTACAGTGTGTGTGTATATTATACATGAAGTGTATACAGTGTGTATATTATACATGAAGTGTGTACAGTGTGTGTGTATATTATACATGAAGTGTATACAGTGTGTATATTATACATGAAGTGTGTACAGTGTGTGTGTATATTATACATGAAGTGTATACAGTGTGTATATTATACATGAAGTGTGTACAGTGTGTGTGTATATTATACATGAAGTGTATACAGTGTGTATATTATACATGAAGTGTGTACAGTGTGTGTGTATATTATACATGAAGTGTATACAGTGTGTATATTATACATGAAGTGTGTACAGTGTGTGTGTATATTATACATGAAGTGTATACAGTGTGTATATTATACATGAAGTGTGTACAGTGTGTGTGTATATTATACATGAAGTGTATACAGTGTGTATATTATACATGAAGTGTGTACAGTGTGTGTGTATATTATACATGAAGTGTATACAGTGTGTATATTATACATGAAGTGTGTACAGTGTGTGTGTATATTATACATGAAGTGTATACAGTGTGTATATTATACATGAAGTGTGTACAGTGTGTGTGTATATTATACATGAAGTGTATACAGTGTGTATATTATACATGAAGTGTGTACAGTGTGTGTGTATATTATACATGAAGTGTATACAGTGTGTATATTATACATGAAGTGTGTACAGTGTGTGTGTATATTATACATGAAGTGTATACAGTGTGTATATTATACATGAAGTGTGTACAGTGTGTGTGTATATTATACATGAAGTGTATACAGTGTGTATATTATACATGAAGTGTGTACAGTGTGTGTGTATATTATACATGAAGTGTATACAGTGTGTATATTATACATGAAGTGTGTACAGTGTGTGTGTATATTATACATGAAGTGTATACAGTGTGTATATTATACATGAAGTGTGTACAGTGTGTGTGTATATTATACATGAAGTGTATACAGTGTGTATATTATACATGAAGTGTGTACAGTGTGTGTGTATATTATACATGAAGTGTATACAGTGTGTATATTATACATGAAGTGTGTACAGTGTGTGTGTATATTATACATGAAGTGTATACAGTGTGTATATTATACATGAAGTGTGTACAGTGTGTGTGTATATTATACATGAAGTGTATACAGTGTGTATATTATACATGAAGTGTGTACAGTGTGTGTGTATATTATACATGAAGTGTATACAGTGTGTATATTATACATGAAGTGTGTACAGTGTGTGTGTATATTATACATGAAGTGTATACAGTGTGTATATTATACATGAAGTGTGTACAGTGTGTGTGTATATTATACATGAAGTGTATACAGTGTGTATATTATACATGAAGTGTGTACAGTGTGTGTGTATATTATACATGAAGTGTATACAGTGTGTATATTATACATGAAGTGTGTACAGTGTGTGTGTATATTATACATGAAGTGTATACAGTGTGTATATTATACATGAAGTGTGTACAGTGTGTGTGTATATTATACATGAAGTGTATACAGTGTGTATATTATACATGAAGTGTGTACAGTGTGTGTGTATATTATACATGAAGTGTATACAGTGTGTATATTATACATGAAGTGTGTACAGTGTGTGTGTATATTATACATGAAGTGTATACAGTGTGTATATTATACATGAAGTGTGTACAGTGTGTGTGTATATTATACATGAAGTGTATACAGTGTGTATATTATACATGAAGTGTGTACAGTGTGTGTGTATATTATACATGAAGTGTATACAGTGTGTATATTATACATGAAGTGTGTACAGTGTGTGTGTATATTATACATGAAGTGTATACAGTGTGTATATTATACATGAAGTGTGTACAGTGTGTGTGTATATTATACATGAAGTGTATACAGTGTGTATATTATACATGAAGTGTGTACAGTGTGTGTGTATATTATACATGAAGTGTATACAGTGTGTATATTATACATGAAGTGTGTACAGTGTGTGTGTATATTATACATGAAGTGTATACAGTGTGTATATTATACATGAAGTGTGTACAGTGTGTGTGTATATTATACATGAAGTGTATACAGTGTGTATATTATACATGAAGTGTGTACAGTGTCTGTGTATTATTATACATGAAGTGTGTTTGTGTATAGTATACAGGAAGTGTGTATATTATACATTAAGTGTGTGCAGTGTGTCTGTGTATATTATACATGAAGTGTGTACAGTGTGTGTGTGTATATTATACATGAAGTGTGTACAGTGTGTGTGTATATTATACATGAAGTGTATACAGTGTGTATATTATACATGAAGTGTGTACAGTGTGTGTGTGTGTATATTATACATGAAGTGTGTGCAGTGTGTGTATACCATACATGAAGTGTGTGTGTGTATACCATACATGAAGTGTGTCTGTGTATATCATACATGACGTGTGTGCAGTGTGTCTGTGTATATCATACATGAAGTGTGTGCAGTGTGTCTGTGTATATTATACATGAAGTGTGTATATTATACAGGAAGTGTGTCTGTGTATATTATACAGGAAGTGTGTCTGTGTATATTATACATGAAGTGTGTACTGTGTGTCTGTGTATATTATACATGAAGTGTGTACAGTGTGTGTGTATATTATACATGAAGTGTGTACAGTGTGTGTGTATATTATACATGAAGTGTGTACAGTGTGTGTGTATATATATTATACATGAAGTGTGTGGTGTGTGTGTGTGTATATTATACATGAAGTGTGTACAGTGTGTGTATACCATACATGAAGTGTGTGTGTATACCATACATGAAGTGTGTGCAGTGTGTCTGTGTATATCATACATGAAGTGTGTCTGTGTATATTATACATGAAGTGTGTCTGTGTATATTATACATGATGTGTGTGCAGTGTGTGTGTGTGTATATATTATACAAGAAGTGTGTGCAGTGTGTGTGTATATTATACATGAAGTGTGTGTGTGTGTGTGTATATTATACATGAAGTGTGTGCAGTGTGTGTGTATATTATACATGAAGTGTGTGTGTGTGTATATTATACATGAGGTGTGTGCAGTGTGTGTGTATATTATACAAGAAGGGTGTGCAGTGTGTGTGTATATTATACATGAAGTGTGTGCAGTGTGTCTGTCATGTTATTGTTCTATCAGGAAGAGTGTGGAAATGACTTGTGTACTGCACTACCCCTATTACTAGTACTAACTCACTTATAACCTGCTAGTCGGGGTCCTAAAAGGGAAGTGTTGTCTGGAAGCTGTGCCCATAAGAGAGGAGACGGAGGGCAGGGGACTCCCATCACTGACTGGCCATGCATTGTTCTGCACTGTGTATGGAGGCGGCCATCTTGGTAGAGGCGGGGCTTTGCCTCCTCATCTCAGAGAACAGTAATCAGCACAGTATAAATATTGTGTGCAATCCCAAATATATATCATTAGTGCAGATTTAATTCATTAACACAATAGCAGGGACGTGCGGTCAGGGGAGGCAGGTGAGGCAGAGCCTCACCTAGTATTAGGCCTGGTTCACACCTGGGCATTTTACAGCACGTTCCTACGCGCTGTAAAACGCTCAACATGTGAAAACCAATGATTGCCTATGGGCATGGTTCCCACCTGGGCGTTTTACAGCACGTAGGAACACGCTGCAAAACGCCCTACGCCCAAAGAAGTACAGGAGCTTCTTTGGGCCGTTTTTCTGCGCTTTTTCCATTGGCATTCCCGAGTGTGGATCGTGGGTTAACAAAGCGGTAACCCCGAGCCACACTCGGGAATACAGGGTACAGGTCTTACCTTGTCCGCGATCCCCGCTGTGTCCTCCGGCGGCTGCTGACTTCCGGGTTCCGCCCCTTGCGAGCGGCCGCGTCACAGGGGGCCGGAGCCGGCGGGAAGTTTGAAAGTGAAAAAAATTAATACATTTAAAAATAGAGAAAATAAGGGGGGAAAAGAAAAATCATACCGCCAGTGAAACACGCGTTTCACTGAACGGAAAGAATACGCTCAGGTGTGAACCTTAGCCTTATGGAGGAAAAAGCTGTCGGCTTCATGTTTGAAGCTGACAGCTTTTTCTCCATTCAGATCGGCATCTAACAGGTTACACAGCATGGAAATCCTCCCCACTGTGTAACCTGTCACGGAGCCTCAGCGGTGAGGGACCGGGAGGCTCCTCCCTTCCGCCTTTACACTAGCGTGGGGGTGTGGCTTCATCCAACAGGTTGCTGGGCTGGGGAATGCCTCACCCTGAGCAAGAGGTACCGCTCGTCACTGCACAGTAGTAACAGCACCAAATCTTCTGAGACGAGCAGTGCCTTACATCTCACACTGCAGATACACAGCTATGAGAGCTTCACATATGGGAATGTTCACTGATCTTGAAGCTTTGTAGACCTCAATCATGTGCGAGCCATAATCCTGTCCTGATGTTTTGTTTCTTGTACATTGTCGGGTATTCGGAGTGAACAGAGATTCACCTTATTTGTTGTCATTTATTTTGCAAAGTAAACAGCCGCTACTCCTTTATTAAATCCACCTCATTGTTGAGCTGTTATCCTCCGGGTTCAGTCATCCCTGTGCACAGCAGGTAGTGGAAACGCTCTAGTCATCCGGAGTTCAGTCTGGTGCAGGCAGAGTTTAGACGCCTCCAAGACGCACCTCCGCTTCAAGTACCGGTGAACGTTTGTAGGAAAACTAGAGATGGACCCATACCGGTGTTTTCGTATCGAGTACGAGCACCCATTTTTATCCTTCAGTACTTGTCGATGCCGAGGACCAATACTGGTACTTCCGCTAGCATGGAGGCGGCTTCCCAGGCAATCAGGAAGTTGGGTGGCGTGTCATTACCTACCGCCCGGCTTCTTGATTGGCCAGGAAGCTGGCTTCATGCTGATTTCCTGAGAAGCCGTCTTCCCGGCCAATCTGCATGGAGCAGGCCAAACAGCAATCAGGAGGCCGCCACCTGGCTTCCTGATTGGCTGGGAAGACAGCTCCATGTTCCCTTGCGGCACTGCCGGTCAGAGGATTTCTCCCTCTGACCAGAAGTTCCGGTATCGGGGAATAAGCATCGGAGCATTTGGCCGAATAGGAGTACTCGTCCAAATAGTATCGGCAACGATACTAATACCGGTTCATCCGTAATGAAAACCGTGTATGGATTCCCCCGCCCTCCTCCAGTCCAGTATACACAAACACAGACCTCGGATGTAGCAACGCTGTGCTGGGAAGTATTTCCATTCTTCCCCCCCGGCACCCATCCAACAGCGTGCAGCTGCCACTATATGATCTTTACAAGTGTATTACCACTTTTGCAGCCAAATTCAGATAGCACCTATTTTATATTTGATACATGTTCCCTTTCACATAGCATAACTTGAAAAAATATGTAACATTTGCTGCTTACCTTATTTAGACGCCAGTCATTTCCAATATTCTAGTGAACGGGAGCATATGTGTGGGGTTTGCTCACATTTAACGCATGTCTTTAGGCCCTATTTGCCTTGTTGCCATCGACTCTGCAAAGTACTTGCCCGACACCCGCACGCAGCCCCTGGTAATTGGTGTATAATCATGGATTGATGGGATCAACGATTATACAGCAATAGAGAATTACAACCAGCTGTAGAGGACTACAAATCTCAGCAATCCATGATTATTCAGCAATGGAGAATGACAACCAGCTGTATAGGACTACAAATCTCAGCAATCCATGATTTTACAGCAATGGAGAAGGACAGCCAGCTGTAGAGGACTACAAATCTCAGCAATCCATGATTATACAGGAATGGAGAAGGACAGCCAGCTGTAGAGGACTACAAATCTCAGCAATCCATGATTATACAGGAATGGAGAAGGACAGCCAGCTGTAGAGGACTACAAATCTCAGCAATCCATGATTATACAGGAATGGAGAAGGACAGCCAGCTGTAGAGGACTACAAATCTCAACAACCCATGATTATTCAGCAATAGAGAATGACAACCAGCTGTAGAGGACTACAAATCTCAACAATCCATGATTATTCAGCAATAGAGAATGGCAACCAGCAACACATGAATAATCATGGATTGCTAGATTTGTTGTCCTCTATAGCTAGTTGCCATTTTGCATTGCCATAAAATCATGGAGTGATGGGATCTGTAGTCCTCTATTGCTGGTGACCATTCTCCATTGCTGAATAATCATGGATTGCTGAGATTTGTAGTCCTTGGCCCTGATCGTACGGGCTTTTAATGAGCATACGACCATCGCAAGACAAAAGTCTTGCGATGGTCGTAAGGTGTATGGGCACCTTAACAAAGAACCTACCAGACTAAACCCAACACCTGAAGTGGAAAAAGATGGAATATCTCTAGCTCCTTCATCCTTCCAAAGTATTCCCGGGTTTCATATAAAAGAATGAATCTGTGAAAGTCTGTTTCATTCTTTCCTTGACATCCCCTAGTAGTGACATTGGTGGGGTGATTCTTGGGCTGGGAAGAGGTTGTTTTCCTACCATAAAACAATTTATTAAACGACTATAATGAAAAGGATTGCAGACAGTGTGTGTCCAAGTGCAAGCACCCGGACCTGGTTGGGGTCCGCATGTAGCCATGTGCAGCTGCGTCCCCCATAGGGATGTAGAGGTGTCTGCACCGGCCCAGGATCAGGTCTCTGCAGAAGTGTACACCTACGTGAGATCAGGATCTATCGTCCTCCTCCATTTGATTACATATGTGATGTTTTTCTTCCTCAGGTCCGACATCTTTACATCTGTGATTTCCACAAGAACTTTATTCAGAGTGTTCGGAATAAGAGGAAGAGGAAAACCAGCGATGACGGCGGAGACTCTCCGGAACATGAAACGGATGTGCCAGAGGTCAGCGCGTGAAAAAACCTTCATTGTGTTTCGGATTCTTTCTTAGATTATTGGGTAAAATGTATTATCGACGACTGAAGGTCAGAATAGCAGCAGAGAGTGTTTGATAAAGATTCCAGTACAGATCATGGACGGGAAACACACCTAAAGGTCCCCACACACCTTACGATAATCGCGGGAAATCCCACGCATCGTACGATTATCGTAAGGTGTGTGTGGAAGCCGTGCGACCTCTACTACTGTAAGGTCGCACGACTTTAAACTTAGGGACATGTTTCAAAACCCGCCGAGCATCGTACGATTGTCGGCGGCTGTGTAGCATGTTCGTGAGATAAAAGCCGGACGGGCCGGTGTGCGCAAGCGCACACTGCCCGTTGGGCAATGCGGTCGTCGGAAGCCCGCTCCTCAGGGGGCGTGGCTTGCGATCATCGCAAGTGCGATCTGCGTATGCAAGATAGGCAGATCGTACGTTTTTTTAAGTACCTTACAACCATCGCAAGACAAAAGTCTTGCGATGGTTGTAAGTTTAAAGTCGTGCGACCTTACAGTAGTAGAGGTCGCACGGCTTCCACACACACCTTACGATAATCGTACGATCGCGGGATTTCCCACGATTATCGTAAGGTGTGTGGGGACCTTTTAAGCATTACTTATCCAGTGTGAGCCATTGTCAGGAGTTGCTTGATTGCTGGCATGATGTAAGTACTAATCAGTCTCTTCTTCTCTCTGCAGGTTGATCTTTTTCAGCTGCAAGTGAACACCCTGCGCAGATACAAGAGGCATTATAAGCTGCAGACTCGCCCTGGGCTCAACAAGGCACAGCTTGCAGAGGTACAGATCTGACCCCCCAATGCTGGCCATACACAGCTAATCCCCGGGTTACCTGTAAACAATCCTCTTCTATGTACTTAAACTGTGCAGTAAGGTGTAAGCATCTTTACACCTCTTCTCCGCACACAATAGCCATTCCATATAGAACAAATTGTCTGTGCAGTGCCCTTTTACACCAGGTCCTGGATGGCATAGCCCAGTAAATATGTTGGGTGACATTGAAATGTCCCATCAGTAGTGCTTTACCCACTGCTACACATTTGGGAAAAGTATCCAAGTTGTCAGAGGTGCTCAGAATGACAGGTAATTCAGGAGCCAGTTTGTTGGGAGTGCATTTGTTTGCTGTCCATGAAGATTCACCGTTGCTTGTGATTCTTGAAGCCTCTGATGTCTGACCCCTTTGACCTCAACCTGACTTTCAGTAATCAAAGTGATTTGGGTGCAGTTTAGTAATGGTGCTCACGTGAAAACAGAACTGTCCACTTGTCACATGTTTAGATGCATGTGTTTATTGCTGAAAGATCCAAATGTTCCACCATTGTGGCAATCTTTGTGTGAGGCTAATACAGAAAATAGGGGGATAGTTCAGTCTGTACAGTGACAGCCAGTTCAGGTGGATGCAGCTAGGATCCAACACTCTTCCTTTGTGATATACATGTGTCATCAGACCGAGGAGTCCTTTCCACTCCACACCTAATGTTTCTGTCTTCAATTTTGTCAGTTACTGACTTAATTGGCCGTGACACTCCAGAAACAGAATCTATCCAAAGGTTAAGCAAAACAAATGACAAGCGCACTCAACAATTTGCTCGTTTTTGCCTTGGTTCAAAAATAACAGTTCTACTCACCTGAACCTTGGAGCTGGCCGGCTGTCACAGCACTCCATCCTGCTTGTCTCCTCCTCCATTGCAATGACAGCATGTACTTCGGCATCCTCACTTCCTATACACTGCCTATAGAATGTGATGACTCTATAACCTAAGCCCACTGCAGCGTAGGGGGAGAGAGGCTCCAGGGAACCAATCTAAGAATTGGCTGGCTCATAACTTTTTTTTTCTTTTTGAGCCTAGGCAAAAACAAGTATTAAACCCTTGCAATGGCAAGGTAGCCCCACTGCAAGGGTTACAACCTTTGTCCCCGGAGTTGTTCCTTAAATAAAAAAAGAAATGGTGTCTCTCTGACTAACTACAATTAAAAGCCTGTAATTTATTTGTGAATCTATATTCCATTTTCAATACTAGTCAGTTTATGCAAACGACATCTTTTTTTATTATTGACCTTTCCCCTTTGTTTTTTCTGCATACAGACAGTGAGCCGGCATTTCCGGAACATTCCAGTGAATGAGAAGGAAACGCTGGCCTATTTCATCTACATGGTAAAAAACAATCGGAGTCGCCTGGACCAGAAGTCTGAAAGTAGCAAACAGCTGGATGCATAGCCACAGAGACTATAGGACTTGGACCAGCTTTTAGTCAAAACAAATGACTTGTATATAGGAGTCGTGTGTGGCTGCGGCCGAGCCACCAAACCTGTGCCATATCACCTTCTCATCAGCGGAGAGGCTGGTGGTCTTTATGTATGGACAGTATGTTTGCAGCACTGCGCTCTGCATGGATAAAGCTGATGGGGGAAGTCCGGCCACCTACTTTTTTACTTATCACAGGCATGTGCCATTCTTGTATACCGCCTTGGACTTGCTATATGGGAGTGGGTAGAGCTCCACAGATGGCTAACCTTAATATAGTGTCAGCAGGGGAATCACCATAAGGACCAGCTCTCGCCACATCCCAAAAAATGCAGCACTGCCTTCTTTTAAAATGGCTGGTCATCCGTTATAATTGTTCTCCAAAAATGATGTTTTGGACTTGGGTGACGTCTGTCATGTGCTTTGCATAACATGGTACAGAGCACCAGTCTGCAAACACAGGCGGGTTCATTTGAAAAGGGATTGCACCTACAGTGGGCAGTGAACGGAAACCCATAGCAGCCAATCAGATTTCATTTTGCTGCAGTCAGATCAGCAACCTCTAAATTCTGCTTTGGGCTACTGTTTTGTGCATATATGTGAAATGAGGCCACCATTTTTTATTTTTCAGATATAAAGGAACCCTTTATATTTACTTGGGCCTCCTTGCAAGCACGACCGCACACCCATTCCCACTGTATGCAGTGCTTGAAGAATTTGAAGTTCAACCATAAAAACCAAATGGTTTGCATTGAGAACATTTAATGTTATGGTTGTTCTGCAATGTCAGATGTGACCAGCTAGTGGTAACGCAAGCAAAACTTTGAAGTTGTAGATTCAAGCTCCGCTTCAACTGATAAGGGGACCCTGTGTGTCTGTACACAGGCCTTGTTCACACCAGCCCCAGCTTGTTTTCAAGCAGTGCGTACATGAAACTTTTGTAAGCTTTCCACAAGCTTTGAGTCACTTTGTTGAAACCTTTAGAGAAAACTTCAATTCCAGTGTGGGGATATCAAACAGATCTAAATGGGTGTTCTGTCACTTTAAGTAAGCATCTAGCAGGCTTTTAACTAATGTCAAGTGTACTAAAGCCTGCTAGCAGCTTATTAAAGTGACAGTCAACACTGCTATTAAGATCTGTATTGATTCTTCACAGACTGCAGGTGAAGGGTGCTTTTAAAAGCTTGAACAAAGCTGCTTGAAGCGTACTTTTAGCTTTGTTAAAGCTTGCTGTACACATTCCACTTTTATACAAATGTTTTTCCCCTTCAAAGCAGGTCTATGCTCGGATGTTAGCTAAGACTATGTTAGCAGCTTTGCTCAGTGGAATACGAAATGGCTATATAAGAGCTGAAATACTCTTCTTGGTAAACATGCTGCTTCAGGCTTCCTTGTTACGTAGGCACTTGATCACATGATCATGCCTTTGTGGACTCCGATCTGTCCTTTCTACAGAGATCACATGGCCATTTGTAAGCCTCATTGGCGGAACCTGGAGCAGTATTTTCTCGTTCTTATGTTATTAGTATAAAAATCTCTGCAACACTTTTAACATAGCCTTATGTTTAGGCCCCGTTCACATATAGCGAATTGTCGCGCGATTTCCGCCGCGATATCGCGCATTTTTGCCGCGCGATATCGCGAGAAGTCGCCGGCCAATGTTATTCAATGGAGCTGTCTTAACTCCATGTCGCGCGTCGCTCGTCGCGGTCGCAAGTCGCTTCTACCGGTCCCTTTTTTCGGCGGATTTTGCCCGATTTTACTTTTTTTCTATGGAGCCCGACGGGGAAGGTCGCTGGAACGTCGCCCCGAAAGTCGCGCTATCCCGGCCGTGCGGATCCGCTGCAAAAGGTATGTCGCTATATGTGAACAGGGCCTTATGTTCGAGCATAGGTCCACTTTCACAATGTGATGCGGGGAGCCATGGTACCCGGTCACTCATTACAACCAATTTCTGATCACCTTTCAACAGGCTAGCTTTTCTGAACTGGATCCGGGGAGGGTGTTGGGGTTTCCAGCCTGCTATGAAGACCCATTGTATGTGGACGGTGCATGTCATACAACAATCAGTGTTCTCCATTCTCCCTGATCAGCATCTCCAATTCTCAGCAATAAGGGGCAGTGTCTCCAGACCTAGCTTTGGACCTTTTTTTTTTGTAACGTGTTTTTAGTATTTTCCCCCCAAAGATATTTCCACAGATATATTTTAATTCTGATTTATGTGGTTACATTAGGTATTTTTCTTTTTTAATATGAAACTTTTTTTTTTTTTTTTTTAAATCACATTTTAAAAAAGTGAGCCTACGTTCTTGCAGCTCTGACTCTTTTTTTAATCCTATTCTGGCAGCAGGTAAAAGTTTAAACGTAAAAGTCCAGGCAGCAACTTTTTTTTCCAGCTTTTGGTTAATAATGGGGAGAGCTTAGAACCTCAGTCCAGTTTTTATTATGGTTTGTTTCCTTGTTTGGAAGATCTCCCCTTACTTCCTGACCTGATGACCCTTTGTTCATTGGACGGAAACGAAGTGGAAATCTCCTCCCTTACTCTGCCAAAAACCAGAATAACACCTTTGGCTGGAGTTTTAGTTTAAAGCGACACCCCCCCCCCCTATATTATGGAGCTCAAAGAAGATCTGCAATGTTGTGGATTTTTGAGACACCAGCGGCCAGAAAGTGAATGCTCCCCTTTTACAGGCTGCCTTTATTTTTCTTTGCACCCCCATAGTAAAAGGGTCCTTTTAAAGTGTATTTCCAATTTTTGCAGCCAAATTGAGCGAACGCCTATTTTATATTTGTTACATGTTCTCATTCACATAGCAGAACTTAAAGAGAGCTATGGACAAATCTTTTTTTTGGCCATAGTTCTCTTTGGGGTCACAGGAGGACATTTACTAATGTCCTCCTGTGACCCAAAACTCAGCATATAGCAATGTATCGTCTGCTATATGCTGTCAGCGCTGCAGCCGGGAAAGATCCCGAAAATATTGTCGGGATCCACCCCGCTGCCTAATGATAGCTGGTTCTGCTTCTCTAGAGCCAGAGCCACCTGTGCCCGTCTCCTTCTGTCCTTCCAGTCAGTGCTGGGGGGAATCCCTGCGGGGAGTATTGACTGTCGGTCACTGCTCTCTGCAGGGAGAGGTTTGTGCACTGAGCGATCGGTGGTATTTAATTGCTCAGTCCCCGATCAGTAGAGCCAACCCATGAAAGCTGCAGTGTCCCACATTGGCTCCACATTTGGGGGTTAGTGTATTCACTCTCCCCATAATTCTCCTTTAAAAAAAATGCTGCTTACACATTACATGCTCTTTTCTGAGAGAAAGGTTCTCTGCACTGGTTGCCTCCTTTTTAGCACAGGTTTCCTTTAAATCTTCCCATAACCTCAATCCTTCAGGCCCCTAGAGAATCATCTGTACACCCCTGTTATCAGAAGCTGCTGTGATCCATCTTCCTGCACAGAGCTTGGCCAGCTCTTCCATCAGTTTCTGAAGTTGGGGATTGTCCAGCTGGGAAAGCTGAAGCTTAAAGGATACGTTCACTTTTATTATTGTTATTATACACGATTCGTATAGCGCCAACAGTTTGCACAGCGCTTTACAATATAAGGAAGTAATTACAATAACAATACAATTCAAGACAAGATGGTAAGGAGGGCCCTGCCCGTGAGGGCTTACAAACTAAAAATATTTTTGGTCTTTTTAGGATTACCCCACCAATCCCTCCCTCACTGTGCATATAGATGAATACTTACTGAGTTTTGCTGTTTGTTGACATCCTGTGGGGGGACAACTCCTCTCCTTGGCCCACCTGTGCAGTACATCCCCATTGACTTTTATAGGGCTCTTCTAAGTCCATCGGTTGGCCAGGAGACCAGACCCTATAGAAGTCAATATGGATGTACTGTGCAGATGCAGCCAGCAGAGGGAGACGTCAGCCACAGGATGTCAAGAACCAGAGGCCGGATCTGTCAGAACTCTGTGCCAAGGCAGGGTGGGATCAAGGACGTAATTTTAAAGGGGGCAAAATGATGAGTGCACTTTGTTTTAAAGTACACTTCTCCTTCTTCCCTTCTCACCATTAAATATTATTTGCAGGAGGCCAAAGTTGGAGATGTTTTTAGCTGAGCTATTGTAATCAGATTATAGCTCATTCAGAGGTTGCCAGGTTTTATGTCTGGTGGATCACATAGTTGTATAGATACCCAGCTTCTACAAATACTAATGCTTGCTTTCTTTTGAAAAGATCATTATTTTCAATAAGCTATTTGTCGTGAGTATTTGAAGTGTCTCTACTTTCATTAGAAAGATGGTCTAGTAAAGGAGTGTCCCATCTAAGCCCTCTTCATCTGTTATTTGGGGCTACGTACATTTCAGACAGTCTAGAGACGATCTCATATGAAGGAATGCCGTACAATGGAATCATTATTATCGGTGCATGCTTGTACATTAATGTTCTACACGCAGATGTGAAGGATAGTATTATAGGAGCAGTTTGTGGTTTGTATGAGAGCTTTGCTGCTTGGTCTATCCTTGATTTGTTCTGCTTGGTCTATCCCAGCCCCTCTAAGCAGGGCAGGGTCACACTACAGCAGTTCATGCCGGAGATCTTTACAATGAGAATCATAGTATGCAGATTTTTTATGTTGATGGACTTGATAAAGTCATTGGAAGATGTTCTATCCTTAACAGACATGCAATGGAAGAAGTTAATGAAACAGACAAACTGTTTACCTTGTGCAGTAATAGTGGGAAAACGTCATCAGCCGGGCACCGGAATAGAAAATGAGGGGTCATGTTGTTAAAGTTTATATTCCTTTTGTGTGCTGGCTTTTTACATGTTCTCGTTATTTACTGTATTATATCCAAGCTGAAATAACCTTTTTAATTTTATTATTCGAGTAATTATGAAAACTGCAATTTAATGATTGCATTCTCTTTTTGAGCCAGCAGGGGGAGCTTGAAGCATAACTGTACTTGCAGTCGGCTCCCCATGATTCTGTGTATAGGCAGACTCAGTCACTGGAGTCTTGGCTGTTCTTATTTTACCCCGGCTGTAGGCTTTTCCTTATAACCTTGTCTTTTCTATATCATGTGTCCATTTTATCTGCTGCTAGTTTGAAAAGCTGTGCCAGTCATGGGCAGGGATGACTCTCACACAGTACTACAGTTAAGGATCGCTCATGTTGCAGAGCCCGATCATTTTGGTAATGAGTGAACCTTACATATAATTTTTATAAAACCTCGAAAGGTCCAGCCACATGATTAATGGCGC